GCATTGTTGAATTCATCAGTTAGTGGTGATCTATAAATAGTACCGCAGGTTATTGTTTTATTTTCCAATAATATGTCAATAAATATAGATTCGAAAACCTCACATTATAGTAATATCCTTGCGGACAATGTATTTCAAAGCATTTCGAATGTAGAGACCATCACCACCACCTCGGTGATGAGATCTACTGTTAGTGATAAAAACATAGCCATCCAATGTATTGAAATGGCCATTTGTACCAGATACAATCCATGTTTCATTTACAGCAATTACATGAGGCTTACAATTCAGTGAATTCACTAGTGCTTCAAATTTTGTGTAGTTTTTGAAAGAGGCTAAAGATCTGATATTGAGTGAAAGAGTCATGAATCGACTTAGTTTAAAACTATCATTGAATTTGAGGTCATTGACGTCACTAGAGCAAATATACTGATTTGAGCTGTTGTACATGAAAACACTGTTTATGTTGTTGAATTCATCATTGTCAGTATTGGCTGACTCAAGAAACATTTGGTTTAGGTATTCAGGATCAAGAATTTTAGTAAGTGCCTGGGCTTCAGCTTTTTCTGAATGAAGGGAAGTACATGATTCTAATAATTCAGAATCAGAGAGAGAAGAGAATGGTATGCAATCTTTTTCACAAAAGAAACAGCACCAAGGCATATCATCAGCTTCAGATTGCAGGTTTTCGGTTCCATTACATTTGAACCCACGTACATTTGAACCCATGACAATTGCACCTGTATGCTATTGCACATATGGATTTTTTTTGTTTCACGGATAGTTAAACCCATACTAGCCCTAACCCATGGGTTTTAGCACCCGCATATAGATTGAACCCGTGGATATACGCATGGGTTCAAATGTACATGGGTTCAAATGTACGGTCACCCAGGTTTTCATACTGCTGGTTAGAGATATTGGTGCATTTTAAATGTATCCAATGTGAGCAAATGTTGCAAAAAATAGCTTTCTAATTAGTTCGGACTGATTTGTGGCAATTTCTACAGGGATATTTTAAATTATGTTTCATGGTGGTGGCAAAGTAATGAAATAAAAAAATAAAAAAAGTATAGTGAAGTAAGACAAAATCTAAAATACAAAGCTTGAATACAAAGTTTCCAGGTGCAGAACTTATGGTTAAATAAGTACTAGCCTAATTAGCATAAGGAAAATAAGGGTGAAAATAAATTGAGTTAAATTAAATTATCAACCCTGTGCTAAAGGCCACCACTATACCAATGAGACCAAGTTGCAAACAGTGTGCCTATTTGCTAGGTCCCATTGGGCGAGCAGCAGCCCTGGAGTACAGGGGACGAGAGAGAGTAGTGATATCATTTAAACAAGATATAACTCGCCTTCTGTCCAAGTAAGCGTATATAGTCCCATTCATTGTCGACACCTTGTGCTTCCCGAATGCTTCCTTGGCAGCGGCGAGGAGCTTGAGCCTATTCCGGGCCAAGGACTCCGTGATGGACAAACCGCTGCCTTTTAGATCTTTCTTCCTACCATATATTAAATTTTTTGTCGATCTTCGGACAAATTTAATAATGATGGGGTTCTTCGGGGACTAGGATCGCAAATTATGGGTTATATCAATATCCGTGTTAACAATAGGCTGGTCAAGATTGAAGTTATTGTTCAGGGTGTTAACAACAAAGTCTTCAAACTTGTAGTACTCAGATTCTGGAACCGATTTGCAGCCATGAAGAACAACACAGTTCCTCCGGCTGTACTGTTCCTGATAATCTTGCTGTTTTTCACATAACTCCAGTCTTTTTATAATCTCCTCGATCTCAAGAGTGATTTGAGCCACATCATGCTGGAACTTCTTAACAGCTTCAGACTTGCTGCCATGGTCTTCAGTGGCAGACAGTTCATCTGAGCGTTGCATGAGCGCTTTTTGGTTGGCCTGGGGGGATGTAACAGCAGCCAGAATCTGGTTATGAACTTCGGTATTCATATTGATTTTCCGTGGAGTTTCGAGTTGAACAGGTAATTATTTCAGCAGAATCCAATGTAGTATTATAATTAGAAAGGTATATTCCGTTTGTTGATATAATCGAAGGAAGCAAGCTTTAGTACTTAAGTTAACCAAAGATTAAACTATCATCTGCAAACTTAATCAAATAGCAAATAATCAGTGCCGGCAGTGTGGAATTTCCTGTGTTTTAGTGACGTTAATCTGTGCAATTCTTGTTGTAAAATGATATTAGTAGTACAGGTTAACTGTTTCCCCAGTTTGGCATAGTTCTGTTCACTGGTTATCTTGTATTTAACGTTTCCGTAACTAGTCTACTTTCGCAGTTTATTCCCTGTGCGATTTCCATATTTCTATGCGAATTACCAGGTATATTGAGTGTTTCTCGGTAAGATAGGATTGGTGTTGCATCTTTAGTGTCATACTAGTTATTCTTATGTATTTCTAGGTATGTTTTAGGGTTAGTTCGGATACCAATAATTTATACTATCCGGATAACGGATATATCCGGGTATTTCACCTATCCGGTTAACCGGATAGTTACTGCTAATTTCACAAGATTTTTGCGGCGAATTGACTAAAAACCACCACACAGCTCTATTGTAAATACGTACATATGTATAATTTAGTTTGAATAAAAATGATTGTGCATTTTGATGTTGCATGTGTCAATAAATAAAAAAATTTAAGCTCTGTAATCGTACAGAAGTACAGCTGAATAATATAATGAAACATTTTTTTAAATACTGTTTCCTAATTGTCGTTCCCTCGACTGCTAAGTTATTTTCTTATATTCAAATCCTATGCAAAAATTTATAATATTCTTTTATTTATTGTTAAATTTTTTGAAAGTTTTTTTTGTGTCTAGAGCATATTTTCTTTAAATTTTGACTCATACTAAATTTTGGTGTCGCAGACTCACGATGACCATTTCTTTAAGTTCAATTAGTTTAGAATAGATTTATTTCGGCTGGTATAGACTATAGAGGACTTGCACGAGTCACGTGACCTTGTTTACTGGACGGCAATAAAACAAAAACGTCCATTTGGCTCTTGTCAGTTGCAAGTCTGATTATACGTTTCCGTTTTGTTTGGCTGTTGAAAATGGTTATTTCGTATTGTTCCGCTGGCTGTACGTATACTATAGGTACAGCCAACGGAACAATACGAAATAACCATTTTCAACAGCCAAACAAAACGGAAACGTATAATCCGACTTGCAACTGACAGGAGCCAAATGGACGTTTTTGTTTTATTGCCGTCCAGTAAACAAAGTCACGTGACCCGTGCAAGTCCTCTATATCTATTGATTCGGTTGATACATGGAAATTTGAAAAACATATATACCAAAGTTGAAAGCAAGCACATAACATTTGGTCGTGTACTCAAAATTTTGAAATGCTACACAGATTACATGAAATCGGAAGTGTTGTGAAATAAGTTCTCGAAATTCAAACTGGTTTACATCATGATGAAACGCGTTTCTTCAATACACGCAACAACTAAAAGCCACACCCGACGAAAAAGCAACGAACTCACACCCAATGCTTTTCCACTGAATTCGTTTAAGTTAGTCTTGCTTAAACTGTACCTCCAGTTCGAATCTAACTTTATAAAGCAAATGAGCTCTTCTAATAAGCGCAATATTCACATTTGTTCTGCGTGTTTTGTGATGTAATAGTGAAGTTCACTCCAGCATTCTACGGATGGCTAAAATATAGGCAGATTAGAGTGGGGAAAGTTGTTATTATATGCTCTGGGAGATGTCAGTCGCCACTCAACAAAAAATATAAGAATCGCTAATGCGCATATGCATTATTTATACTGCTCCATTATCCGGTTAACCGTCACAATAATATCCGGATATCAGATAGCAAAATAACTCTTGGCTAACCACTATCCGGATAATCCATCCCTAGTATGTTTTGCCTGGTTTTTGTATATTCCATTACATGTCAATAGTTCATGATTGTGACGTCATAGACCAATACCTATTTGTGTTCTGTATGGTATTTTGTACTGTACTTTTATTTGTTTATCGTATTTCCGAAGTATTTGGTTGTATTAAGTTCTTACAGGTGTATAATTAATCTAGTTAGTTAACTTAGTTACTCTGCTGTAATTGGAACCGCAAGAAGATTATTTTGTGATTGACATCTATTGCAACTTCAGTGTCCAAGAAGCTGGCAGAAAGAACCTGAGTGGTGATACCAATTCCGGTACGCCACACATGGTTATCGGCTCGATCATCTACCATGATGCTGATTTTATTGGGGTGACCGGTCTGTTGTCTTCAAATTTCGGAGCTTCCACGATCCTCTTCCAGAATTTTATTAATTCATCTTTAGTGGGTCCATTCCCTTCGGTGATGTTAGTTTGATCTATTCTTCCTAGGCATAGCCAGATGTCATTACTCCAACTGCTTTCGAAGGATGGTATGCCGAAGGTTGTTCTCTCCTTTTCCACAATCCGCTGTTTTAGGTTCTTAAACACCCTTTGCTTCATTCACACTTTATAGCATCAAGAGTGCGATTAGGAAGAATCTTTAGCAGGTGGGCATATCTGTTTTTCTTGCTCCAGGCGCAGGTCTTTTTTAGCCAGCAAAAAATCCTCGTGGTTTTACCTTGCTCAGGGTGGTACTTCCACCTAGACCGGATTTAGTGGTAAATTCACGGTCACAGTCAGGGCAAAAAGGGGTCCCTACTTTTCGTGATCTCTGTGGGTTTCAAACCACATCCCCCTGCGAAGGTGAGGAGTCCAGTGGGTTTTCTTGAGTTACCGGGTTTGGACAAATCTAAATGGGGGCGGTAACCCCAGATGGATTATTAAAGACTACCCGATTTCAGATACCTCGAGGCATTGCCTCTAGCCACATGGAGGCTCTGGACTGGATAGGAAGGACCTACTGCAGTAATGAAGCTCTTGAAGGACTGGCGAGTTATATGTCTGTCAGTGTTACTATAAATATTCAACTCGCCAGTCCTTATTATGCCACCAACAGGATAAAATGACCATATTATGCCACCAACAGGATAACATGACCATTTATTGACACCAGTCCACTACAAGCAATTTCTATTCTACAAACTTCACCCCGAACGTAGACATTAAAAAAATGAGACCACATCCGTGAAGCATGACCAAAAATAAATGCACCACCATGCATTTATGTGTAAAATACCACAAGTCAAAAAATTATTTCTATCTAATCAGGGTATTACCGAAAAAAATCTAGGAATATTATTATTATTCAGCAACGTACACCAAAGTTTGACAAATATCAATTGCTGATGATTCGGATGCACTTTCCGCAACTCTTACTATTCTTTCATCAACATCAACTGAAAACTTTGTCACAGGAGACAGCTTAGTTAGAGAATCCATTGCTGAATCAAAGTGAGGAATTCTTCTCGGACCGCTAACTGGATCTGTGTATCGCATCAATGAAACTTTGGAAGAATCTTAAATGAAACAGAAAGAGCTTAACAGAAATAAACAACAAAGGTGATGCATGACTTTTGAAGCACTCAATATAACTGTTTTGATTCTTAATACAATATTGCCGCAGTCATTGCATACAGCTCGACCAACTTCATGGCAGAGAGAAAACTAGAATTAGACAAAGTCGAGATGAAATCATTCTTTTTATCTGTCTAATGACATGGTTGTCTCTGTTTCATTAAAGCAGAATGCCTGGCATTTGCCACACGTTACCTGTATGGTTGTTGTACGAAGAAAATCAATGATGAAAATTATGTGATATTCATCCAGCAACAAAGTAGTTTTGTAAAAAGTTTGTAACAAAAAATACTAATACCTTTAATGAACTTGTTTAATTTGCAAACTTTGGTTACAATTTGATTACAAGTATCACCATCACATATCGGTATATTTACTGAAAAACATCCACTCATTGGCTGGTGATTTCGTACCTTTAAAGAAAAGAAATTCATAAAATAATTTATATGTTGCATATAATTATGCGAACTGCATAAGCCAGAAACCAAACTAGTTAGAACTACTCGATCCATACGCATAGTTAAAAACATACAACATGAATATTGTTATAAACTGTTAAACATGAAATTCTGAGTTTCATGGATGTTCAATCAACAAATATATATATATAATCCCATTTCATTATTCAAGAAACCACCAAATGTGCTCAAATTAAACAATAACTGCTTCAAAAATATATATAAAAGTATCGTACTTGCACTAACACTGAAGGTTGTACTATAAATTCACACATTGGTTTCCCAGGACAACATTCCTCTTGAACTTTAACCGGTCCTTGATTAGATGGTCTTATTTCCACACCTTCCAACTGTGAAAGAGAATATAATCATCGTATATATTCATAAACATGACAAACGAAAACCATTGAATATCGTCTTGGGCCAATCCAGTCAGCACAGCAGATGCCATATGCATCATTTTCAAACCAATGCAATTGATGCATGAAAAACCACTTGATGCTGATGAATTCATATGCATAGCATTTGATAATATTGATGTGCCAATGGCTTAGATTTATTATAAAATTACATACCTCCAGTGATTTGGCCAAGTAAACTCTGTTAGTCACCAATACATCTACTTCATCAAAGGATGATGTCAGTGCTAAGGCTCGTTCTGCTCCAATGTTAGTAATGCTATCTTTGATAGATGCAACAAATGGCATCACCTTGTAAGTATAAATGAAATGTATATACCTAATTTATGTAATGAAATACAATGCGGCCCGCCTGATGCTGCCACAACCAAACTAAAACCAAATTCTGATGTTTTAGCTCGAAAATAGCTGAAGATGTTTGTTGAGATTGCGATTAAATTAGTTTTGGCACAAGAATTATAGTTTCCCAATTTTGCTTTTGTAGCACTGTATATATTGTTCATAAAATGTAACTTTTTATATCACACTTACATGGCCCGCCAGTATGGGTGGACAAAATTTGTAGCTCCTGGTTCAAAAACCTTGCCGGCCACAGGTCTAAAACATGGCATGAGGTGCACACCACAAGTAAGCAGACCAAAACTTATACCAAAAGTCTCGCAAGACAAAAAAAAAAGATATAGTATTGAAAATTTCATTATTTGGTTTTTCTGGATTACCTTTTTCATGTACTTCTTCAATTCTTGTCTGGTCTTCAGTTGAGCCGCAATTTCTTTATTTTCTGGCAAAGATTCTGTTTTTCCTGATTTATATAACTGAACCATTACTTCCAGGGTTATTTTTTGCCATTCAGGATAAGTTTTTGCCACATAAATAATGCAGTGTGTCGGCTTGTCAAACTTTTTCTATAATATAAATATTTTCTTGAAATTGGGACTTCGAACAGAAATTCATGCAAAAAATTATGATTGCAATACGAATTCCTAACACAAAATAAACCACATCAAAAAATCATGTTCAACTTGATCACCTTTCCCTTTCCTGGAGCCATTCTGTTCTTTAATTTCAGGCGCAGATCGTGAGCAGTATCCATGACATACTGTGATGCTCTGATAGAGATTTCATCAACTGGGCCTGGTGTAGGCCATTTGGCATACATGATTAAACCAGGCTGGAAAAGATAAAATGATACAATTTTTAAAGTTTAGTAATGACGCCGTATAGTATTTCACATGGATAAATGTATTTTGGACTGTCATCCAGTATTAGCGCACTTTTTTGCGAAAATTGCGAAGCACTTTTTTTAGGGACTGCGAAATAGCACTTTTTTCCGTTTTTGAAGAGAAATAGCACTTTTTTCCGATTTTGAATGGAATAAAAATTCAAAGTTAACAAATATTTTCGAGTATTAAGTTGACAAATAAGTAACATACTAGTACTTTTGTAACTCAATTCTGCATAACATAACGATATTTACCGGAATTCTAACCTATGAGATGCAGACATAGGAGATAAAGCTTTTGCATTAACGGCAAAATTCTTGTTTATAATATGATTATTATACAAGCACACCGATTCCGCTTCTCCCGCAAAAACGCTCCTGGCGTCTTTGAAACCGGATGTTGGAATACTACCCAGTGCGTTTTTTTTAACCAGAGTGGTCATGTGACTATCAATGATATCGTAGTAAAGTGTTATAGTCACTTTGGAAGAATTGTGACCAAAGTGCTCGATTTTCAAATCAGACGAAACTTTTAGCAGCATGTCACAGATTTGCAAAATCACCAAATTCACAAAATACCATTAAGTGCCATTTTAATCACAATGTTGAAAGCACGTGGCATTTTCCGGAATTTTGCGATATTTACACAACTATTTCTCATTGATATGCGAGACGGGTGGGCAAAATTCAATATTTTTTGAATCGAATATTTTTAAAGTACCGAATAACAAAATTTTGGAACGTGGTGGAAACATTAAAAAATCGGCAACAAGCCTTTTGTTAATCGCTAATTGTTCTTGTCACCGATCGTTTTGGCGGCGATATCCAGGTTTTGGTAATCTATATTCCCGCCCTCTCTTTTTACAAATATGAATTCTTGTGGTCGGCGGACATCGAAGTTTTATATTTCGGGTTTACCCGTTCGTTCACATCGGCAACAGCTGTTGAAGACATTGAGGACCCAAATTAACATTTGCGTTGGCTTTAATATTACCTATCAAGAATTGTGAATTTACCGTCCCAATTTTATGCGAATGATAATATTATTGTCGATACCGTGATGCAGATATTTATTAAGACGATAATTAACTTTCTCATTTTTCTATGGTGATAAACTTCGCAAATCTGAAATTGTGCCAATCCTGAATGTTGATTTAAAATAGTGATTGAATAATTCGGCAATAAAGGCATTTCTGCGTGGTCATAAGACGAGATGACGTTAATGAACAGCACTTCTTTTAAGGATATATTTTTACGTATGCGACTTAATGCTAAAAAGATTGGGCTCGAGCGCTTTTGTGCCTAATAGAGGTCAGGCGCTAATTGTAACTAATTCCCTCAAGTTTCAACGTTTTAAACAACAAAACAATACCCCGGCGATAATTATAGCTAAAATGTTACCGAGCAATTCACAATTTTATTTATGGAATTTGCAAATTCACCAGTTTCTTGACGATTTTGATATGTCACGCCCTAATTATTAGTGCAAAAAATACCCCCCTTCTTCCCCGGCGGTTTGACGGGTTCTTTGTTCCATTCTTCAGAAAGTTCTGACGCTGGGGGGGCTTTGTGGGGGGATATAGAATACTGAATCCGGAGGGTTGAATCCCTGTCGATTTTCCGTTTTGTGAAACATTGCAAATTAAATGACGTTTCGCGGGCTAGAGTTCTCCCCGAAAATGATGTGTTCCAGACGTTAGTTAGACGATAGATAAAACATTAGATTAATACTTTTCATGACGCCCCGTTTTCGAAAATACAAAGTTATATCGCAAAAAATGCGTTTTGATACATTTGGAATGAAACATTATTTACGGTTAATTCAGATCATATTTTACTCTTCATGACACCCGGTATCCGAAAATACAGTTGTATCGCGAAAAATGTGTTTTGTTACATTTAAAATAAAACATTTTTGCGATTAATTTAGATCATATTTTACTTTTCAGGACACCCGTTTTCGAAAATACAAGGTTATATCGCAAAATGTGTTTTGTTACATTTAAAATAAAACATTTTTGCGATTAATTTAGATCAAATTTTACCTTTCACGGCAACCCGTTTCCGAAAATACAAAGTTATATCACAAAAAAATGCGTTTTGTTACATTTATTTTGCATTCCCAATAAAATACATATTTTCCCTAATTAAAGTCGTCGATGAATCTGTTCCTGTCATTCAAGCTCGACACACGTTTGGACGAGTGTGGGGCGGTTTTTTGGTCGACGATAAATTAAAAAGTTGCCACACGTTATTTGTATAACGATAATAACTGAAAATTAAGATTTTGCAATAGAAGTGAATTTGTCTCAAGATGGTATTTTACGATTCTTGCCCACAGAAAATAAACACGCTGACAGGCTTGGTTATAATTGATATTCGTTTAATTTATTTTACACTATTAATAAACGCGCCACACCAAGTGCGGCCATATAAATTGCAGTTGCATCGGTATGGACTGTATGTTTTTTGCGCTCTCACATTAATAATAATTTTCAACAAAACAATACCCCGACGGTTATTATAGCTGAATTCGTTACCGAGTAATTCACAATTTTATTTACGGAATTTGCAATTTCAAGATCTCACTTGACGATTTTGATGTCATGCCCTAATTATTACTGCTTAAATGCCTCAAAATACAACAAATGTAATCATTTTCGACGATAACAGGCGCAACAATTCGTAAACGAACCGTTATAACGAAGTTCGCGATTGATTTTACCTCTCTCTTGTTTACAATTTTAACATCCCGCCGGCCATGTATGGTCGAATAAAATGTTCACATATTCGAATATGACTTGGCCACGGATGGAAGGGATCACTAAAGAGCTAATAGAAAGTACATACGCGAGGGTATGATATTAATATCGAGAATATTTGTGAGCATATCACAGGGTGGAAATATTTTGCACCCGGCTGTTTGTTGGCAGAACAACGATACGCTAAAGTTAATTGATCGAATACAGGGAAGTATTCATTTATCATCTTACTTGCGAACATCGAGGTTTTGGCGGAATTGTACGATCATGTTGTCTTTCTTAAATAATAACTTTTTTCAATAAATGTTCATTTTACTTTTGCGTCTTTATTATATGTCGGATTTTCATTTATTTCAAATTCGAAATTGTCCGAAATACTCCAACAGGTGTATAAGTACAATAATAATAGTACTTACCAAGTTCTTACCAGGGAAGTTTAATACACACAATGTGTCAAGGGCATCATAACTCCCGTTTTTTTAATTTGATTGTTTTACATTCTGCTTAAAAAACAACGTCGTTTTGCAGTCATCTACCGTAACTCTCGCGACCAAATCTTTTTTGTTTTGTATGGCATCGTCTTGGCGCAATTTATTGCCCACTGAATTTTCATTGTGTTTTAGGATAAGTTATTTTCTGTTTGTTGGTTTCTAAACTTTACAAACTTGGATAGCAATTACTATTAATGTGAGATTTGTGCATATGAACGATTGAATATCGCGACTGGATGTCCGATATCTGAGAATACGTACTTCTCTTTCAACATTAATTTCCAAGATATCAGCGTTCATGTGGTCGAATAAAAATTATTTATCAAATGGATTGGTATTTCGAGACACCGTCAAAATTATTTGGGATCCACTATCATATCATTCGTTATTTTTCTTATAGTCATGTTTTTTTCAAGAATCACCCTCGTTATATTTCGTGTACCTTCGCAAAAGAAAACTCTTTGATGTCATCGTTCCTATTAGTGTAATTGAAATATATGCAAACCTCGCAAGTGGCGTTGTGTTGCGAATATTTGATACTAGGTCAGCAGCATTACAAAGAGTGCTATTTATGAATGCTGAAAGTACATGGCATTACTAAACATTTTGCCAATATATGATGTTTTCTGCCCGATTTAAACTAACTCGCACGCAAACCAAGGCATGTCGACATTTAAAAATTACTTGTCTTTGGGTAAGCTCTGAAATAATATAAATGTAAATGAGAAATTAGGTCACGCTAGCTCACGAAACGGGGAGGATTTTCAAAGTGATCTTGTGTAATATTTCGGAGAAAAAAGTTTGAAAGGAAAGTAGGTCAGTCAACCTATCTCCTAAAACAGGGGAGTATCTTGCGTAATATTTCGGAGGGAACGTAGTTTAACCTATCTTTTAAAACAGCGGGTGGTGACTTTCAAAGTGGTTCAAAATCACAAATTAATAATTATCAGATTAGGTTTAGGGATAAATAGAAAAGTTGAATTCCCGGCGCACCTAACCCTATTTTGCACGGGATTTTGGATTATTTTGCACGGGATTTGTACAAATGATCCACCCTGTAACTAATATGGTTTCCAGCCTGCATGTATCAATCGTTGTCTGTTAGATGGAAGGAGTAACAAATGTGAAAGCCTTTGCTGTTCAGGCGAGTTAAGCAACTGACACGGTGATATATTGCATGAAAGTTTTGTCCGCGGCAGGTGTTAGCAGATGTCCTTTCGTTGCCCATGAATTCGCTTGTTTTAATTAAACATGAATTCGCTTAAAGAGAACTCAGTTAACTGAAAGGCTTCTCTTTAATTCATAATTTTAACCAGAGGAGCGCTTTTTCGAGTATCTATGCCATTTTAAATGGGTTATATGAAAGGCTAGGGCCCCTAACTTGTTAAAATCGGCAAAAGCACTTTCGCACTTTTTTTTTCGACTGCGAAGCACTTTCGCACTCGTAATTTGCTTGCTTAGAGTTAACACTGCTGTCATCCTTAAATGCAGATACATGATGCTTTACCCATAATTCACCTTTTTTTCTTCGATATAATAAAGGGAAGATTTTTATCAGATTAACAGCAGAACTTGCAAAAACTTTTTTGTATAACATACCTTTGCAAGAAGTCCCCATACATGTTCACAGACATGGGAACATATTGGTGCAAGTAGGAGAGTTTGTATTTCAATAAATCGTAAAATTAAATCCTTTTGCATTCCCTGCATTGATAACTCGCGATATTTATCTCTGGAAGCCTGAAAGAGAAGAACAAATGTTTTGAAAATATCCAATAAATCTCACCAGGATAATGTAATAACTAATAAATTGAATAGATAATGTTGAACCAGGATTCCTGTCTTCCAAAAATAGAGATGCTTCCTACATATCAGTGGCTGCTTGTACAGAGATAGGCTTGAAGTAAAGATGAAGTAAAGTGGAGATATCACATAAAAAACTGTGGCATACCGGTATTCATAATTTTGCATATAAAAGCAGAGAATATATTTATTGAAAAAATATTATTATTTCTGTTACAAATGCACAGGCGTAACCCTTCATGTAGTGTGAATGAACAAATTAGTTATTATGTAAACAGTGAGCAATCATAAATAAAAATCATTTCCAGAGTTGAAGCAATTGCTATATTATGAAATATCCCATGCCAAACCCATTTAAAGTTCGTTAGAAAACAAAATTTCAAAAGATGCACACTGTCAATAAAGGGTATTTTAACTGGCACTGTTTTGAATGTTGTGATTGGCATCAACTTTACAATGAAAAATCTTTTGAAAAAGCGATGAGTCGTATTGTATAACAAAATTGGATGAATGGCAATGTAGAAATAATATTTAAAAAATAGCAGTTCATTTATGAGTAGCCTTGGTCGATAAATATTATTATAAACAAACATGGTAATTGAAAATGAATCAATCTTACGACAACTAATAGCCTTCATATCTTTACAAACCTGAAACTCAAAAAAGCCAGTTCTAAGAGCTTCCTTATACATCATATTCTCATAATGTTTTCTTGTTTCCACAATTCCAATATTTATCTCACTTGCAAAAACACGATCATTAAAAGTATCTGCTGGTCCTTCATGTAATGGAATCTGGATATATATCATTCACAAATTTTTATGAAAAAGTGTATAATTATGCCCCATCATGATCAAATTTAACTAATCATCAAATACTATTTTAGTGACAAAATAATCTAAAACATCATTGTAGGGTTTATTATTTAAAAACAATAGATCTAAGTGAACAAAGTCATCTAACCTCTCCATTCAGAACCTCTTTTACCCAGTCCAACCATGTATAAAGGCGTAAGATGCCTGCATCTGCCATTTTCTCAACAAAATTAGCGTCTTCGACTGTGTCTCCAGCATCCGCTAAAGCCAGTCTCATACCTAAATTATGAAAAAGTAGAAGAAAAATTGCTTCATTCACATAAACCATACAGATTGGTTGGATAGTAATTTATATCGACCAATGAGACTAATAGATACACAGAGTACTTCTAAAGTATGGCAACTAACACAGTAGAACATCATACTGAATTCTTACAAGTTACACTGCTAATCATGCTCTGTAGAGCAGTATATACATTAGGAATGCACTGCAGTAGCAGTACGCAAAACAAAATTATCAAATTATTTAACTCTGCGGCTAGAGATTGACAAAGACCGTTAGAATAGTCATATCACAAACTAATGCATATAGAAGTAAGACACATAATTCTAAACATAAGTCTAAAATATCCTGCGCCTTTTGCAGTCAACGCAAAGTAAGATCATAAGAATTCACTTTCTGGTAACACCCTAGTGTTAGTTAAACAAGTTCTATAAAGCAAAAGCACTGTGCAGCACAAAAATTCCTTGTCATGACATGAGGAAATGAAAACCATCAAATTGGAATTGTCCATTTCATTTCCATATACTTTTTTAACAAATATGAAATTCAGAAATGCATCACTGTCTTTTTTTGACCTACCGGTAATACAAATTGAGAGGCTAGTATTAGATCAAAACATTCAATAACACTGGAAAAATTTATTGTATACTCCCTGTCTCTCTCCGTACACAGCTACTAAATTGTAATTTTACATTCGGTCATGTCTGAATCTAGCTAATTTAATAACAACTATTTTTATACGAGGAAACAAAAAATACTCAATCTTTTTAAATAATTTATTTATTTCAATATGAGGAATCAAAACCATTTGTCTTGATAAGAATTTGGGTCAATATCAAATCCAAGAACATAATGAACATTATTACATCACATCAATACATATAATATTTTTTTTTCTAACTGTTCTTTTATTGAGTTTTGCCTTCGAGCGCACCCAGGTACTAGGAATATTAAAAAAATCAAGAACAAAAATCATAGGCCTCCAAAAATAATAATCAACAAAAGTGAAGGCGTTTCTTAATTTTATTATCTTAAGAATTGATTTGTAAGACTTGAGAAGCCATAAAATCTTCAATCTTGAAAACTTTAAAAAACATATACCACAACACAATCTCATATAAAATATGCTAGTTTGCTAAACACAATCACCGGTACTACCTCAACTTTATTATTATACTTAGGGTATTAAATACATACTTAAGAATTAATTTAACTACAACATACCATCAGCAGAATATTTTTCAACAGCTTGATACAAAGTCAAGAAATTTCCAGTCGACTTGGACATCTGAAGTCAAAAATCAAATGAAATAAGCAAAATGATGATAATACCTGGCCGAACAAGGGCCATGTAGCGGTCAAAACAGACATATTCGAACTATCTACGGCAGAGAGATATGTGGATATCCAAATACTCAAACCATGTAAAGTGATGTTTGAAACCAACACAATATATTTTTAAACAAAGGACACTTTAAACCCAAGTGTATTTTAAGTAGCGTTTTGAGTGTGATGATTTGCATCAACTTCATAATAAAAAGATCTATTGGTAAAGTAATAGCGATAGCTATTAACATATGTACTAAAACACCAAACAGCAAGATTGAATGAAATTAACAGAATGGTAGATTTCAAGTAATACTGGTTTCAGCTTTTGATATGATACTTGCACTCCAATACAAAGTGAATGTGAGAATCTGCCTCATTTTTATAAAAACAACATTTTAAAATACACGGCGTAAATTTGGAGGTTAAACATTGAGCAAAGATTAGAAAAAAATGTACCTTTTCAGAATTTAACATCAGATGACCATTTGCTCGAACAGATCTTGGCCATAAATTTGGTTCCTTTGGCCATATGGCACAATGATTATACAAGAAGTATGTAAGATGATTCGGCACAAGATCTTTGCCTAAATTAAAATATGATGAGTCATATGTTCAAAATTTTTCTTAGTTTAAAAATATTTCTTCAATTGCGCTGCATGCATTTTATTCTATTGCGACCACTAAGATGGAGATAGAAAAAGGCCAGATTTCACTTACTTACTTACCGAACGTTTTCTAAAGCTGTCTCAGATTAGCAGCCAAAGAAGATATCTTGATATTAATTGAAGTAAATAAAAAGTGCTAACCTGATGTTCGCAAATCAACAGGATACCAGTATTGAAATTCACTGCGCAATTTATCCAAAGTGTCTTTGGGTATTTTTGTTTTTGGAAATGGAGTTGATTTGTAAAAAATATAATCCCAAACTTCCCTAGTCATCTGTTCTGGACTGGAAATAAAAAGGTGATAAACACAATTCCCTTCAAATACAAGGAACTCAAAGATGGAGGATAACAAAATAATTTACCATTTACATGGAATCTGATCTTATACATGAGATCCCAGAGTAAATTTGAATGGAAAATATGTTTGAAAATCATTTTATCAAATATTGAATGAATGAAATATCAAGTAAATTGGCTGAAAGATAAGCAAAAAATAATTAGAAACCTAATATTTGCAGGACTTTTCCCAGATCCATCAAAAACCCCTCCTTGTAGTAGATGAGCTACTGTATAATAAGACATGTATATTGTTGAATCAGACAAAGATTCAATTAACCATTGCTCATCCCATGGAAGACGAGTACCTAGAAAAAGTTGAATATATATTTGATTTTGAAGTATCAACTAATCAAACGGTTCCTAACCTGTGCCATATGACACACAAACAATCAAATAACGATTTAAAAATCATGTTAACTGAGAAGTATGACTGACAATATCAGACATTCACAGCATTAATATCATTTGTGTACACAGGGTGAATACCATGAAACTCTTTCCAGCCCTAAATTGATGTCGATGAAGGTAGATTTCCCAATGCATGGTGATTTGTATTATAAAAATTAAATACCTGTTTTCATTTTTTATAGTCTTTTTAGAGTCTTTAAATGACATATTTGGTATTTCGCATTTCAGTAAATTTTGAATTGAATAGTATACACTATACACTAGTATTTCATGCTTTGAAAAGCATCCACATACATACCTAATCCATAGGTTCTAGAACAAGCATGCTCTTTCAACCAATCCATAGTCGCATCGAAATTTTTTCTCGTTTCATCACAATAAGTGTTCAACTTTTCCAACGATGATTTAGTTAATGATTTCCAGTTTTTCTCTCCGTAATCAAGATACCTGAATAAAGAAACTCAATCAGGCAAGTTAATATGTGTACGCAAAGTCAAGTTTTATGGAATGTGCTGATCACCTTACGTATAATAGGCCATTTTATGGATATTAACCATGTTGATCATAGAAGAAATGACCATTCAAGATGGGATTTATGGTAATTATCCCACAGTGAAAACACCACAGCCTTTCGCTCAGATACTAGTCCAGGTCATATATGGGAATAACTACGGTAGGTAGTTTCATTGCATATTATACGACAAATTAATGGAGGCTTAACTAAAGCACTTATCTAAATTTTAAATTACCATTGATCACACAAAGCAACAACACATTCGTCAGCAGATCTCGACATCACTTTTTTTTCTGGTTCCATATACAAAAGTGCTTCACCAGATTTAACCATTGCTTGTTGTATAGGTTTCTTTACGTTTTGAACTTTCTGTCCTTCATATCCTTCAACCTTTAGGAATGTAATGAAAAAAATTATTTTAAGAACATAGTCAAAACACTACAACCAGTCATCTAGTACTAGTTTTACATTAGACTGAAATTCATTAAATATACAATATTTCAACCTGATTATCAGATGCCAGAAAAATTATTATATAAAATTTTTAATATATATAAGTTATAATTGATTGAATGGATTTTCACAACTCTATCTCAAGATATAGTTAATATAGTGATTTCTCCATTTTTACACAATTTCGAAAATGACATTCAAAATCAAACAGGATTGGAAATATATATAATTCTCTATATCTTTCAATTGAAATGTCCCACAACTTTAAATCTAACACACAACCGTACCAGCATGACTCCATCATAAAATCCTTTTAAATAAACCATATCTTTTGCTTCAGCCAATTTGTCTCTGTCGTTTTGACTCAAAATCTTTAACTGCTCACAGACTTGAACAGCAGAAAGATTACTGAATCCAGGTATGTCTATGATAGGAATCTGAAAAGTTCAAAATCAGTTACCGTAGGTATTATTGAAAGGACATATTTGAAAAGGAACGTCACCAGTATTGCCTAAACAGTCCTTCTCCAAATATCAGCAGCCATTAGTGTGGATGGAAAATTATGCCAAACCTGATAAAAACCAATAATCCAGCAAGAATATGTGAATGTTAAATGTCATTGAATTAACTTGAGATCAGTACGCTTCTCAAGAATAATGACATTGAAAACTATATGTTTTTACTATATCCATATCAGAAAATCGCGAAGTAATTCTATGAGGTGCGCCTCTTGTGTGGTCCTAAAATTACTTTCAGTTCAGCTCTGCATAAATGCACAACTTCCAAATGAAACTTTGATACTCACAGGTTCAAAAGGCATCACCATTTCATCTGTAATTCCATATTTCTCTCTCAGTGGTGCTTTATTCTTCAAATCTCTCAGAGCTGCAAAATCATCAGGAGCATCAGAAGGAACACTTGTCACCACACCTGTACCTTTGTCTTCTCTTATTGTGAACATAGGAAGAGTGTAAATCACCTGGAAACAGATTGTCCACATTTAGAAGGATATAAGGCAATTTACTATTGCCTTTATATTTGATAAAAACTTGTTATTAAGATTATAGATTTTCAAATTTCATAAATGTAGGGCAAGTTGTCATAAGGCACAATATTCTAAAATATTTAAACAATTTTAGATTCAGTGTCGGCTGTCATACCTCAAGCAGTGCTTCACAATCATTACATAGCGTAATTTATTGTACAGAAATATTGGAAATTTAACCTCATATGATGTTAAAGGAGCATGCAATGCCATTCCCATAATGTCTTGTCCGATGAGTTGAGCAACAACTTCAACTGTTCCAACCTCTGTCATCAATTCTTGATACGACATATTTCTGGCTGCTCGACGAGTACTCACAAATATTTCCTCATTTTTCACCTGAAATAGAACACCAGAACAACTATTCATAAAACAGATATGGAGATTAACACTTCTCTAACCCAAAAATGAGGTCTCAACTTCGATTCATGGTCCACATGTTGGAAACATTTATTGGCAACCTATATCCATCTCGAAGAAACATCCTGATCTATATTTCTATTCCTCGAAGAAATACAGAAATAAAATAAAATGGCAACTAAACTTTAATAAAAAAGATGCAATAGTAGAAAAAAAAAACAGTAAAAAATACAAACAATCTACATAAATCCATCACAGAGAACCAAATGAGAATACAACATATTTCTTATGACTTTTAATTATTGGCCTGATATAATGCCAAAAAAACGCCTTCTAAAACTTTTAAATTTCAGAATCCAACTAATTATGTTGTTTGGCAAAAATACTTTCAAAGGCAAAGGCTGCTAGAATACAACTAACAGTTTGGATATTGAATCGGTTTGTTTGATACAACCAGGTATCAGACTTAGTAATTAAATATGATAAATATAAATTTCTCACCTTATATGCAATATATGGCATATCTGGCCTAATCCAACAATTAGTTTGACCAAACATTGTTTCGGGACGAAGTGTAGCAGCAACAAGAAACATATCTTTACCAGACAAAAATCTGAAATAAGAGAATGGAGGATCATTAATTATAAGTATATTGATTATCATCCATTAGAATATGGGGTGATTCTGTACTGTACTCCATTTATCACAAGCTTTCTTAAGTTACCAAGTTGATACCAAAAAGATTTCTAACAAAAACCTCATCAATGTTGAAATCAACCAACATCACGTCTGACAATGTTAGTGATGGCATGAGGTCAATATTGAGGCTCATAAAGATTCGAAGACAACTCAATTCAAGTAAGAAAAATTACTTCAATTTCTCAGGATATGGTTCTAGCACTTTCATTTTGATAAGAGTATATTCTTGACAACCAACACCTTCCCCTGATTGACGATCATGGTCCATGCATGGTTGATTGTCCTGGTAAACACAAACAATCAACTTCAGAGTATCATGAAGGGGAAGTATCATCCATTATATTTTTTATATACTCAATAGCAACATTAAAAAAATGTGTTAAGCAATAGAATAAAGTAAAGACCTCTGGTCCAAACTCATACTTACCATAACACCCCACCAAGGGTGGAATAAAATTGGATCGTCTATGCTAAAGCGGAAAAGTCAAAAACATTGTATCACCATGGGTATTAGTGTATGCTTGTGCAAAACTTAGTTTGACGCTTAAGTATGAAATCACCTCATAAAGAAAAGACGTCTATGCCCAGATAGAGGTCAATAAGGTAATTTTGGCATTAATTATTTTTGTGTCAATAAACTCTCATTTTCTTAGATGAATTCCATTTACAGATATTATATTGAAGCCCATATAAATAGACACTGTTTTCTAATAATACAACAATGAAAAGAAGTTTTGAATACCTTAGGTGAGAATATGGTATATCTTTTACCAAATTTAATCATTCCACGATCTTTCATAGTCAGAAACTGCCATCGTACAAACGAATCATAATATGGATTTGCATCTGTTGTAATAAAAGTTCTTCTCCAGTCGACCTTAATTGAAATAATAAGAGTATAATAATGTAACTCTTGATACTAGACACTGATCTGAAAAGATCAAAATCGAACAAATTCGTTTCATTCAACAAAGGTGAAAAAGAATCACAATTCACAACTCACAAGTTTTAGCCTATTGTCTATAATGCAAGAGTCAGTTTAGAGTCCAACAGAATTGTTCGATTTCAAATTATTTCCTGTAGATTTGGCGATTTTTGTTTTACCACATATGTGGAACAAGATATGAAACTCAAAACACAATACCAAACAAAAAATAATCGAATATTTGTTTACCTTAGTTTAGGTATTTTTTGAACATGACCTAATTTAGAATAAATTAGATATTCCATATTTCAAAATATTACTTTATAATGCATTTGGTAATATTGGTAGTTTATTTGGATTTGGCTATCCCTAATCACAGCCATCACTTTATTAATTCATAATTGTTTATCTGAAAAAAACTATTGTTATTACCTTCAAACCCATGCTCTGCAAATCACTTTTAGCAAGAGGTGGAAAATACTTCAGCCAATGTTCAGGATCAGAAAAATGTTTGATTTCATCATTCTTCAATCCTAGACATTCCATAATTTGCCACTGATATTGCATTATGCCAGACTTGGCTACTGCTTTGCTTTTCTTGGCTTTAGCCTTGTCTTTAATTACTGTTAGTAAAGTTCAAATATTTTTGTACTACATGCAACTTTTAAAAGTTTTGAATTCTATTATTTTGTACACGCAAACATAACACAGATAAATGGTGCATACTTGATTCAGCCGTTTGTTTCTCACTTTTCTCACACGATTGATTAAATTCAGGAAAATTTGGTGGATAACCATACATTTCCATCTCCCTTTTGAGTTTATCTGCACAAGCCTATAAATAAATATTGATAATTTCTTTCAAATGATATAACTTGAAATTCAATTCTAAGCAACATTAAAATCGAATGAAATTTGACATAAATAACGATATCAAAAAGTATCTAGGTACACAAAATTTGAAAGTATTTAATTTCATAAAAAATGGTAAATTTAATAAAAAAAAAGTGGTGAAGTATATTTTGAATTATGAGGACCACAGTGCAATAAATCATGAACCTTGATTGGCATTCCTGTGCAATGTAGTCCGAATGGAAAAAGACATTTCTTCCCCAGCATTCTTTCGAATCCAACAGCAAACTCACATTTAGTGAGGGAAAATGTGTGACCAAGGTGCAAACGTCCATTCATGTATGGATACGGAAAGGTCACAAAATGTTTCGGCGTCCTGAAAATATAAACAGATTTCAAATGTTAAAATGAAAGTTTATTAAGCATGATGTGAATTGGCAATGTATTAAACCTTCTTTCAGATGAGTCTGGTGAAGGTGCATTTTCCTCAAAAACTTTTGCTTCATTCCATATCTTCTGGACTCTAGTCTCAATTTCTCTCAAGGCTTTGAGCTTGAAGGTTCCTTTTCTTTCCACATTGTCACTCTTGACAAACATAAAAATTTTTTTTTAAATTGATCCATTATTTTTTACATTCATGAGTTTGTCCTTACAAGACCATAATTTATTGTAAGCGGATCTATATAAACTCAGGTAACTTATCCTTGGGTTAACTTCAATCTGCAAACATAAGGCATCATGTCACCACTATAATTTAATAAAGCGAAATAAACATTGGGGTATCAGATTACTATTTATTTCCACTGGAACCACAAACAGGGAATTCCCCCTCTAGAAACTATAATTGTTGATGCTATGAATACCCACTTCATAAAATGATAAACACATATAAGAGACAAGAGAAGAGTCCAAAACTGTCGCTCACCGACATATTTGAAATAATATTTTCTTTTGAACTGCAATCTCCCAACTTGGAAAACTTTTCTTCTTTGATGTAAGTAAGGAAGAATTAAATAACTGGTTGAATACAACCAACACAATGCAGCTATATTAATATATAGAAAATAGGTAAGCTTTAAAATTAAATTGGATAAACACTGATACCAGTTATGAAAATAGCTGGTAATTACTGAAGAGACATAGTATGGGCAAAAAGGCTGTCTGTATCCCAGGATGAGTGTACTGTCTTCAAAACATTTACTGAAATATGAAAAACCTATCCTCCTATTCAGCCACTACTAGCATAAGGCAGTAAGGTGGACCACAAGAACTTGTACGGTTGAAGTATACACTGAAAGACTGGTCTGATTAAAGAATGGAGGAACTGAAGAAATTTCAAATGCAAAAATTTGGCTTCAGAAGTGCGATACTTTGCCTAATTTAAATATTAATTACAGTAAGGTCTGAAGGTAGTTATTCTGTTATTGGTGGACCAAAATAACTCATTTGTGTTAATGTTAGGTACGGTATCATACTTTTGCCTTGTGTTTGTTTGGTACGGTAACCCAGCACATTTTGGTTAGGATAGGATTTACATATTCATCCCGGGGGAGAGGAAAGGCGATAAGACGGCTTATTCATATGGTGAACCACGGCCTCTCGTCCGGTTACAGGGTTACCATTCCAAGTCGGGTACCGGTATGGGATTAGTTATATTGTTTGTTTGGGTCTAGTATAGTTTAGTACCACAAGTACTTCCAGTTGGCGTATCAAAACGAATTTTGCATATGTTATTCCTAACCCCCACCCGACTATGCCATCTAAAAATTACGTCAATACGGCGTCACAAACACGTCATAGGGCTTGCCAAAGTATAATTACGATCGCCCGAAATGGCATCTGCGCCGCCGATTACGAACTCGCTGACGCCGGCGATCTCTCTCCTATCGTGATCGTTATGACGGGAAAACGAGAGAAATAGCTTGCTCGATTTCGGGTGATCATCTGCGCGTTTTGGACGACCATCCGCATACTTTGGCGGGCCTTATTACGCCAATGTGACGTCGAAATGACGTAATTTTTCGGTGACGTGTCAGGTGGGGGTTGGGATTGGCATATGCAGAAATTGTTGAGCCAGGCCAACTAGAAGTGCATGTGGTACTAAACTATACCAGACCCATAATATCTATCTGTGCCAAAGTGACTACCGGTATATTTGATCTGTGCCCATCTGCCCAAGCGTGTGACAATCGTGTGTTTCCGACCTTTGACCCCAGGACGATAGGATTTACATAATTATCCCGGTGGAGAGGAGTGTTCAGTAGGGTTAGTTCGGATACCTATAATTTTTAATATCCGGATAACGGATATATCCGGGTATTTCGTATTTTAATTATCCGGTTAACCGGATAGTTACTGAAAATTTTGGAGAACCCATTTCACAAGATTTTTGCGGTGAATTGACCGAAAACCACCACACAGTTCTATTGTAAATGCGTACATGTGTATTATTTTGCTCGAACCAAAAAGGATTATGCATTTTGATGTTGCGTGTGTCAATAAATAAAAATTTAAGCTTTGTAATCGTTTTCCCCCGACTGTTAAATTATTTTCTCTTATTCAAATCATATGTAAAGATTTATATTATTCCTTACTTTATTGTTAAATTTTTTGGAAGTTTCTCTTTGTGTCTAGACTCTAGAGCAGGGGTCACCAAACTACGGCCCATTTTATCCGGCCCGCAATAACACGCAAAAATGGCTAAATATTTTTCCATGGGAGATTTCCCCGAGCATCGTCTTCCTTGTTTATTTCGTAACATTGACTAATCAGCAAGATGCAAAAAAACGTGACGTAATAATAGGCCTTTTCGCATCAGCTCAGATAACTTTTGTCTTCCTGACAGATTTCCAGTCGTGGTTGTAAACAATACTTCGTTTTTGCGACTTTGAATGCTATTCGTTAGTTTTTGGTTGTGTTTCGGAAATTTAAGTATGAATCAAATAAGTCAACTATCATTTGCATCCTTAGGAGTTGTAGTTTTAAAAGTAGTAATAAGAGTCAGACTTCCTCAGACAAGCCGCTTTAGAAAGTCTGACTCTGGTCAGACGAAACGTTACAGAAATACATTTGTGTTAGTGTGCAGCTGGACTCTTTAATTGGAGTTTATAAAAAGCGGCCAAGAAATAACGGAGATATCGGAATTTTAGTACGGCCCGACAGGGCAATTATTTTCATAAGGATTGTATTACTTTTTTGATAAGAACTGTAATAAATATGAAAAAAGAACACATGTCAATCACTAATACAGTATTGAGACTATTTTAGGATTTTATTCTGGCAACGGTCATTGACACCGCCGAAAGATCGTCGCAAATAAACGCTGGAGTTGTGCATGATAGTTTAATTTGCACTACGTATTAAGGGGGGAGGAATTTTTAAAAGCGTCGAATGCTGAGAAATTTATGCGCTAATGAAAAAAATCAAATACCAGATATGTTGTTTATTTTATCTAAATTATGTCAAAATTTCATGGAATTCCAAGCTACAGCAGGCAGTCCGTAGTCGTTTTTAGCAGTAGCAGTATCCCAACACGGCGTAACAGCACTTAGCAGACGTGAAGCGTACATTATTTTGGCGCGAAATAGCCGATTTTGTAATATTCCTAATTCATGACAGCAACGTTTTGATAACAGCTAAACTCAGGATAGTTCTAAACTCTAGATATAGAAATCTTGTATATTTGTTTTCCTAGGATGTTCTTGATTTATATTCTGCGATATAAATAGAATTTATTATTCAAGTCTTCAGAAATGTAGAATTTATACTGTATTGTTAAATAAATTGAATGGATTTCCCAACTTTTGTGAATTTATTTTATTGCATTGACAAAAATATTCATCCGGCCCGTTTCAACCCAGTTTGAGTCATACCCGGCTCGCGGTCAAAAAAGTTTGGGGACCCCTGGTCTACAGCAATGGTATTTAAGCTGGGGTCGATCGAATCCTGTGGTTCGGTGGAGCTGTTCCAGGGGTTCAACAAATGACTTCTGAAACAGTTGCATATTATGGGACTTTTATGTTACCTAGCATACTAATTATGATGCACACTTTACTATAGTTCATCGCAGATATTCAGACATAAACGTTCAACAAATAGCTGTGAGTATAGCTTCGCGCAGATATAGGTTTAGTGGATTTGTCGGTGCTCTACCACCTTAGATTCGGATTCCAGTACACTTTATTAAAAGCTCATATCGTCACAGATGTCGTACGCTTGGGTGTGAGTACTTATCTATGATAGAGCTTTTAAATGCTTTCTGCTTATGGCTTCGGAATAACTTGGGATGTTATGACAAACCAAGTACTTCTGAACTGAAGATTTTGCGTGACCCCTACTCACAATCTGCGGTACTAATAAAATTTAATTCGTTTCACGAAGAAATCGAAGATTAGCATTGGATGTACATAAAAGAAAGCTTTTGTTTGCATTTAAACAGGTGATAAATTTGCGACAAAGAATACTTCATTGCAGAACTTTGCAATATGGCGCCGCGTCATATCCTATACCTATAAAATAAAAAATGCGGCATACACTTTTATCCGAACTTCAATCCAGTTTGAGAAACGAATTACCTGAACTTCTAACGTTTTGAGGCATACTATAATTTTTTGGATTGAATCTTTTTATCACAGTTATTTTTATCACTTTCTTCCTTTTTATCAGTTTTTCGCCTTTCCACCCGCGTAACTTATATATAAAAAACACCGCTTTCCCTGACGCCGAAACTATTGATAAAACGATGCCTATATCCACGCGGGGTATTGGTCTTATTGGTTACACCACAATGTTCATTTTCTATTGCCTTGCATGAAATTAGCTCCCCCTCCATAAAGTTAGGATTGGGCTCCTAATTTCAACTGTTCAGTACGATGGGGCTCGACGGAAGCTTGCAGTCAGTCGCCACTCAACAAAAAAATATAAAAATCACTAATGCGCATATGCATTATTTATACTTCACTATTATCCGGTTAACCGTTACAATAATATCCGTATATCAGATAGCAAAAAAACTCTTGGTTATCCGGTTAACCGCTATCCGGATAAACAAACCCTAGTGTTCAGATTGGCTGACTCTACTGTATACTAATTTACATGTTTAAAACCATCACTTTATTTGAAATATATGAAACCACCTGCTATTCAAAAGTACCGACAGACAATGTTAGCGTATGATCGCAGCTATTCAGGAACGAACCAATTTTTGATGGACCTTTCCCCGACCTTTGACCCCTGGAGTATTCTTCCCATAGAGAACTTGCACGGGTCACGTGACTTTGTTTACTGGACGGCAAAAAAAAACGTCCATTTGGCTACTGTCAGTTGCAAGTCGGATTATACGTTTCCGTTTTGTTTGGATGTTGAAAATGGTTATTTCGTATTGTTCCGTTGGCTGTACGTATAGTATAGACCAGGGCTTCCCAAACTAGGGGCCGCGAAACGAATTTTGGGGGCGGCAAAGAGAACACCAATTTCACACAAAGTACTATATTTGTTGTACTTTTTCAGACTATTGATTTGAAATACAATTATTAAAAATGGTGTAAAACAAAAATTTCACGATTATGAGTGAATACATACATCATCATATCGTGTTTCCCAAAAAATAAGACAGTGCCTTCAATTTTCTTTCGAAAATACCACTAAGGCTTATTTGTCGGGTATGTAGAGAATAACACGATTTTTAATATATCAAATGTGAATACCGATTTCCTTTTACTTATAAAATACTTATATTTTAATCATTTTTAAAATTCAGGCTTGATCTTATTTTCGGGGAAACACGGTTGAATCATCGCGCTGGCATAACAATGAATATTCTGATCGTAAGACCCGATTTGCGCGTGCTTCCATAACGATGCCGGCTTTATTCGTTAAGCTAGCGGTTCCCGAGGGCGATTCGCTAAGTGCGCCTCAATAATCAGGATATTTGTGTTAAATATTAACTAATACATGATTGAATATTTTACATATTTTGTTTATTCTGAATGTTTTATTATTTCCCATCATTGCAAATGATCTGTATATAAATCGAATTCAATTTACCGTTCTATGTTGTTCACTTTCTGTTACGTAATGTCTA